CGCATGCACCCCGTGCCCGGGGCCAGGCCAGCCCTGAGCACTTGGCGGGCACCGAGAAATGCCCCCGCGGGCGCACCGTGTTGGGGACCACGGGTATACATGTTCTGCTCAAAAGCTTCTGAGAAACCTTCACTCCTACTGTGGGAGGGTAAATGGGGCATAAAGTTTTCCTTACCACTAGATTATTATTACTGTTTTTAAATTCTCTCTTACAATAATTTCAGGGAACACTTGTTAGTTTTCTTAGATCTCTGCATTGGGTAAGGTTGCCATTCTCAAGTTTTTCAAATATATGTTCAGCTGCACACCCTCACTTAATCTGTAACAAGACAGGAGCTATGGAGGCCCTTTGTGTTGTAAGTAAAACACTCAACATAGCAGGGGAATCCACCAGCATGCATGTTTATGTAAGGTAGGAGAGCATGCTGTTCATTTTGCTCCAATTTGCTGCACAGTTCTGCCATTGTATATAAACCTAAGTTTAGGAATTATATCTCTGCAGCATGCTGTAAAATGATTCTGAGATAGTGTTTTTATTGTTGTCAGATATTATTATTAGTGTGGACATTGTAAATAATTCATTAGAAATTAAAACAGTGTAAATTGACAAATATTTGTCAGTGTTATTTCCAACACAGTTTTTTTTTGTGCATACTTCATTTCCAAGCAAAAGCATTTTTGACTGGAAATTGGGAAGTCACAAAATAAGACTGGAAATTTAGTGCACAAATTTTTTTAATGTGAAGTTGCCTGCCTTCTCATCACCTTGAAAAATCCTGCTTTGCATGCAGGTATACTTTATTTTGAAATTTGGCTCTTCATGTGAATGAAGAGCTTATGGCAACATTATTTGTTTGTTTTTTTATTTTCATTTACATTGTTTCAAGCTTAAAATGTGTATGAAAAGGGACGCTACCGGTCTGTCTTTGTGATCCATTTTATCAAATTCTCAGTCTTCAAGGTGATAAAATGAAGTAATTTATTAGCTTTTCCCTGTTTTGGACATGTTTTAGTCACCACAAATTTGTTTTTAAATCTATGATCATTCTGTTTTAATGTGGCTTACCTGGTAAAAATGAAAGAAACAAGTTTACTGTTTAAAATTCTAAAAATAAACAATGGAAAAAAATACAGCTAAATTAAATTATACTATTTTAAATGTCACAACTGTGCTCAGTTGATGTTAATCATTTTTCAAAGATAAACTGACAAGAAATGGTTTGTGAAACATTTAATTTTTAATTCTGAAGTTGTGTGGGTACTCAAAAACACATGCAACTGGTGCAAAGTATATTTTTGCTTTTTCCCCCTCTATTTTTCCCTTTCTATGTATATTTAAGGAATATACATAGTGCAGTAAATATCATTGCATACATCAAAAATCAACAGCTTTTATTTGCATTTAACCACACTAAGAAACAACTGAAGTATCAGTGACATGCACGGCCTCTTCTCTTGTAAAGGGTGGTATTAGCATTACAAATTTAGGTTTTCTACCATTCCATGTCTAGCTTTTTGTCACAAATAGAAAATCTTCTCCATTTGGTGTTGGGATTGCTTCTGTAAGCGTAACAATGCATTTCAAAAATTACCACTTGAGTAAAAATGTCTCATTCTTTTTATACCCCTTTCTTACCTCTGTGTTCACATTCCGCCTGTCCCTCACTGCGCTGATTTGGCAATTCTGCTAGCAGCACCTTCTGTTTGGCATCCAGGAGGTGCTGCTTTTGGGAATGCAAATGCAGCACGGGTAGGGCACCAGTGGATTGGAAGGCAGTGGCATCAGAGGTAAGACAGCAACCTTTTGTTACTACTTGTAGAAAAAGCAGTTTTTTAAAAAATCTGGAGAGATGACGGGGCAATAGAAATGGAAAGAAGGGTGGGGCTTTCCTTTCTTATAAATCTTGTCTTTTGCTATGCATTCCATCCGTCACTCAGAAAAATAAGTTAGTTCTCTAGATAAGGGTTTAACATCATTAGTAACGCAGTAGCTCACAATATGGCCACCTACAGTTTTCAGTTTCCAAATATTTTCAGGCTTTTAGCATCCTAATAGAAATTTTATAGTGACTGTATTGAGAAGTAAGCTTAGACACAATCATGACAATGACTACTCTGGCTAGCTAGTTTTGGAAGGAGGTAACTGGAAGTAGCACACAAGGTCTAAAACATTTTAAAATATTTTGCAGTTGATTTGAGATAATTACTGTGGCTTGAAACATTTTATTAGCCCTATCAATTTGGCGTTTTATAAAAAGCTTTCCAGTTGATTTGTTACAGCAAAGTTGTAATTGTGGGCTAATATAATGTTCCTCCCCTTTCAGATTTCTCTGTTAACTAGTGTTGACTGCCCTTTTGATAATGATAATAATAGTCATAAAATCTCAGGCATACTCAAATTAGGACATGTATTTTTAAATAAAACTGCTCAATTAAAATTAAAAAATTAGATTGAGACGGTTCAAAGTTATTACATGCCAAATGTAATTTTTACATCAAATCCACCAAAAATAAGAATAAGAAAGCTTTGCTGCCTTTTTAACAATATTTTCTCTTTTCCTTCTCTTCCCATCACCTTTTGCTTTCGTTTTCATGTGTTTTGGTTGTGGCTATTCCTTACGTTCCCCTCCTCATCCCACCTCTGCGTGTCCACATCCACCATTTCATTTCACCCGTACATCCTTAGCATGGCAAGGCACTGATCTGATGCATAATCACGTCTTGGCTGATGATGACCAATCAAGTCTAGACTCCTTGGGTCGTCGCAGTAGCCTTTCTCGTTTGGAGCCTTCAGACCTCTCAGAAGACTCTGACTATGACAGTATATGGACAGCCCATAGTTACAGAATGGGGTCTACATCTCGTAAGAGCTGTTGCTCATATATCTCTCACCAGAACTAATGCACTTCTGAGCTTTTCTTAACAAATGCTTGTTGTATCACAGCCTGCTTTTCTTAGATGTTTTCTTGCTGTTCCTTGTCTCTTCAATGTGATATTTTAACAACTTTTGAAAGTTTCTGATATTTCAATTGTACCTCGTGGGAGGCTCTGTTGCCAAGTTAATGCACATACAACTAAGTCATTCTAAATTGAGTGTGTATATCCTGCGAAGGATATTATAAGGTTTTTAAAAAGTGACAGCTGTTGATTTATAGCTCGGAATAGTTTGTTTTTTGACTTGGCCAGTGTAGCCACAGTTCTTCTCTACCCCTCTGCCCCCGATACAGCGCGTTTTTGTATTTTGTACTGAAACCATACTGGTTTGCGAGCTAAGTGCCAGCAATATGGAACCACTTTAACCTTAGAGTGGTCTAATTTTCTATGTATTATAAACACAAGGTATAAAGCAGGGAGAACAAGAGAAATTTTTAAAATATGCAGTACAAGAACTGTAAAATCATTCAGATACTCCTATCCTGGGCAATGTGTATGGTGGAGCGTTTGGAAACCGATGAAAATGTTTATATTGCTGTCTTTTTTTCATTGTTTAAACATGTATGAAGAGACTTACATTTTTCACAAGTTAAGTATAGTTGTCTTAAAGACTTGGAAATCTGTGTTGTTAAACACAGTGTTTTGATAGTTTCACTTGACCAATAGTCATACACTCGCTGTACTGTACGCAACTGTGTAAAAGGCTCCAGGTTTTAAATGCTGACCTGCCTAGTAGAATGCACAATTATCAACAAATCATTGATCATTCTTTATGAAAACAACAAAATTCAATGAGAAAATGAGCATCCCTGAAGGTTCCCATTATGAAAACTTATGTGTTCAGCATCTGGAACCATAGGTATAACTGTGCTCTAAATGAAGATGTAGGAAGTTCTGTAAAGTAGACTGCTTGGCTTTGGTTTTCATAGTTTGAATGCATCTGAGACATGTATTTATTATGTTTTGTAATTGCTCTCATAAGAACATTGGTTTTCAGCAACCGACTCATCATTCACAGTAATTTTTGCTTTGCACAGAATTGAATATGATGGATTACATATTCAGTTATATATTCTGCACCTGGGATATTGCTGGGGGAAAAGCTGTGATCTGTATTATGAATAACATCATTGGAATTGAAATGGAACTATTCTGTATTCTAATCCTTTATTAACATTAGCATAAATGGCAGCATTCTAAGAGAGGGATAACATTTTTCACTTTCCTTAAGACTCCAGGATGCTGCATTTTTTTCTTAAGACATGTACAGTGCTCAGTGTTCTGACATCACTATATGACCAAATTAATATTGGCACAATCGTTGTGGCCTGGAAATTTGATTACACTTTTTACAAGTTCTAAGCTAATAGTAAATATCTACAGGTGATCTAAGCAAGAACCAGTGGTTTCATATGACCAATCCTACAAGGATGTCAAAATAGATAAGCTTGTGTTAGAAGCAGTTCATATCCAAAGCTTCACTGTCAGTTTTAAGTGTTTGATAACCTACTTGATACTCTACCACTGTTATATTTGAAATTGAAATGCTTATGAGAGAGATATTTCAGGGGTTTATTATTGTACTGGTCATTTTATTGACCCTTTGTGACAACTAGGTACGTGTATGCACTGTACCTAATTTTAACTAGGAAAAATAGCTAAGGGGACAAATATATGGTGTATGTACTTCATGCTGTATCAGATACATCTATAAATCACTTAGCTTTAATTTTTATTTTAAAAGTCGCACAAAGGATTCACTTACTTTAATATTGCTGAAAGCATGGATAATTTTTCCCTGATTTTTTTTTTTTGGACAAACAGTGTTCTGGTGGAATAATATTGATGTTTTCTGCATTGATTAAATTCCTTTTCATTTACATAATACTACCATGTTACATATATTATGTACTATAAATGAGTTTTTGAAATAGTTGCTGCACTTAAACTTTCCTTTATAATACAAAACAATGTTTTTGTTACCCAGATCTGAAGATTTTATTGACTTTCTATGCACCAAAGCTTTGACAGTTTACCACCATTCATTATTGTAGCAGTTAAATCACAAACTGTCATCAGAATAATGTTATTTTATAATAATGATCTTCAGTGCCAACATCACTGCAGAATTAAAAATCATCTGCATTTTTATGTTCCAGATCATTAACTATTGTCAGCTAATTAAAAGTATTAATACAACAAGCTTAAAATATACCAGTGTGAAAATGGTGGTATTCAGTCCAAAGGTTCAGTGTTTCTATTTTTGTGGAACTTTAGTCATGCTAATAATAGTATCTTATGTTTATGCAATTCTGTAAAATATGTGTGTACAGTTCGTATTATACTGAAAGAATGCAGAATCAGATTTAGAAGGTAGGTTTAAGCCATTATCAACTCCTTTTCATGTGGCTTAAATGGTGTTTCCATTAAATTAGTATTTAACATAAATTGACACCAAGCTATATTGTGTTTTTTGCATAATCTTGCCAAAACACAGTAATGTGTATATAGTGACGTAAAACATTGACAAATCTATATATTGTGCATTTCATTTGTGAATGGGAAAAGCCATCTTTAGAAGGTGACTGATTTTTGAAAATACAAACTGGATGTATATCTAAATGTTGCATTGTATTGTACAGTATGCCGAATATTGTTTGTGGTTGCATATAGCAATTAAGTGTTTTGTTTTATAAAAAAGGACATCTGTTATGTACAGTTGAAATAAATTTTGCATTTGCTAGCCTGTGACTTTAATATTTCATCTTTATACAGGGAAAAGGATAGTATAAGTCACAATTTCATGTTTGTTTGGCTTTTTCTGAAAGTAGCATGATATGATGAAAGCCAAATGCTAAAATAAGAGCACTAACCTGCTTTAGTGAAGGTTTCCACGTATGATTTGTGTGTAATGTAACCTAGACAGTCTAACATAATCCATCAGAGTACAAGCTATTCTGTATCCTGCTATTCTTCCTTCTTATTTTAAAACTTTTCTTCTCTAGAGATATTGTCATCTACAGAATGTGATTTCCGTTTCCATATATGGAAGTAGTAATTTTCCCCTTAATATGGGGAAACTTAAATTGAATTTTGTCAGTTTATCGTTAGTAGGAGAACAAGCTAAACAGACACTCGAGAAAAATGGATCAGTTTTTAAAAGATTGAATATAATATGCAGAGGACCTGGTACACAAGAAGAAATAGTACAGGTTAGTGCATATAGCTGTAGTCTTAATTTTTTTGCTACAGTGTAGCAATTTTTTTTCTAACCTGAGAGCCATCTAACAGAATGGTGAGTGTAATCTTTTCTGGTGAACATCTCAATCAGTTAAGGAAATATGTAGGCAATCCTGTATTTAACGTAAGTATACCCTTTCAATATTTTTCTTAAGGCTCATCACATACTGTCATTATTCCAAAAGTAGAAAACCCCTTACTTAATTTTATTCCAATCATATATACTATCTATGTGCACCATTATTATTTCCAAGTATTTACTTGTGTCTATAAACTCTTGAAAATTCATTCTGTTCCAAAAAAAGACTGAATTTGCCATATTGACATGTAAATAAAATGATAGTTTTAGTTCTTAGTCCTACAAACTCAACCTAAGATAAGAAAGTCATGTTAGATTCTTTCCTGCTTATACATGAGCATCAGCTATAAGCAGATTCTGTCTTTAGCTAAAGCTACACCTGTGTACCCTCTTTGTGTTTAAACCTAACTATGTAATCTAGTGGTTTTCAATGGCATTGTATACATTAGACTTGGGGCAAAATTTGGCTCTGCAATTGGAACCTGGTTAACAGTTGATTTGATGCCTGAGAAAGCACAGATTACCGCTCACTCTTCTTTATATTTATTAGGGCTAACAAAAATAAAAAGTAGCTCAAACTTACTTTGAATAAGAGACTATGCAGTACTTTAAAGACTAACAGGATGGTTTATTAGGTGATGAGCTTTCGTGGGCCAGACCCACTTCCTCAGATCAAATTGTGGAAGAAAATTGGCATGACCATATATACCAAAAGGATACAATCAAAAAAAGTGAACACACGCAAAATTGACAAATCGGATTTTAGAACAGAGGGGGAGTGGAGGGAGAGGTTAGTGTCTATGAGATAACTAACCTCCGTCCCCCACCCCACCCCGTCCTAAAATCTGATTTGTCAATTTTATATGTGTTTACTTTTTTTGATTGTCTCTCTTTGGTATATATGGTCATGCCAACTTTCTTCCACAATTTGATCTGAGGAAGTGGGTCTGGCCCACGAAAGCTCATCACCTAATAAACCATCCTGTTAGTCTTTAAAGTGCTGCATAGTCCCGTCTTTTGTTTCAGCAAGACCAGACTAATATGGCTAAATCTCTATTACTTTGAATACATATACAAGGTACAGGGTACCATTTTTAGAGTTCTTCAGTAGAACATGCTATACAATTTGTTCAATGGGTAATTGTGTACCTGATTTGGCAGTAATATCCATCTGTGTTAATGAATAGAATGTGAATAATGCAATGGGAATTGAACATTTAAAGTGTGTATGGCCTAATTTGCAAATGAATATATCACAAGTGTACATACAAATAGTTAGATATCTATCTAGTAGGGCTGTCAAGCGAGTTAAAAAAAATCACAATCATGAGATTAAAAATGATAATCGCAGTTTTAATTGTGCTGTTAAACAATTATAGAATACAATTTATTTAAATATTTTGGATATTTTCTACATTTTCAAAAATGCTGATTTCAGTTACAACATAGAACAAAGAGTACAGTGCTCACTTTATATTATTTTTATTACAAATATTTGCATTGTGAAAAAGCAAAGAGTATTTTAGTTCACTACATGCAAGTACTATAACGCTATCTCTTTACTGAGAGTGTAACTTACAGATGTAAATTTTTTTTAACATAACTGCATT